TGTGCACATTAGATGCTTAAGGATTATCTTAAAAGATTAATACCTCCAACTTCCGGATTCAAGTGATTCTTTCACCTCAGCCTCTTGAGTAGCTGGGATTACAGACACACGCCACCACACCCAGCTAATTTTTGTATTTTTAGTAGAGAGGGGGTTTCACCATGTAGGCCAGGATGGTCTCGATCTCTTGACATCGTGATCTGCCTGCCTCAGCCTCCCAAAGTGTTGGGATTACAGGCGTGAGCCACTGCATCTGGCCAATTTCTGTATTTTTAGTAGAGACGGGATTTCACCATGTTGGCCAGGATGGTCTCGAATTCCCAACCTCAGGAGATACACCTGCCTTAGCCTCCCAAAGTGCTGGGATTACATGAATGAGCCACTGCGCTCAGCCAGACTAAACTTTTCTAAATGTCATATGGAGGATAAAATTATTTGTACAAATGTTTTCATAAATATATTAAAGCATTTCAACACCTAGTAACCCACTACCAAAGACATTTTAAAAATCATCGTGATATTTGGTGCCATTATATAATGGAAAATAAGGTAAACATGCAGACTGTATATAGTCTAATTCAAGTACCAAATATGAGTAAAACCTATTAGCTCAATTTCTGGCTTTTTTGAAGAAACCAAATCAAGTTAATAGCACCCCATGGTCTCAAAGTAACAGGAAAGGGAAGGAGATGTTAAAACCCACTTCCTTTGATAACCTCCAATTAGATGACCAATTGGCCTGATTTGCCTGGGACTAAGGGTAATCAGGATGTGGGACATTTAGTGTTAAAACCAGAGCAGTCCCAGGCCTAGCGGGACAGCTGGTCCTCTTCACCCCTCCAGTTCTTTTAAAAATGTGTGGAATATCCACATTTCTTCTTTTTTATTTTTTCTTTTCTTTTCTTTTTTTGTTTTGTTTTGTTTTGTTCGGTATTTTCTCAAATATCCACATTTCTTTATCCTGAGACTTTTCTGCTTGCATGTAAGGCTCTCCAGGAAGTCAAGAAGCCGCATGACGGTGGGGCTGGAGGAATCAACCATGTCTTCAGGGCATCCACCTCTTCCATTAGAGGTGTCTTCAACTCTATCTTCAGGTGTCCAGGCTGCTACCAGGTAGCTAACAAAGAACTGCCCTGGGCAACTTTTGTCTTTGGTAGTCTGTGCTTTCCCTGTTGACATCCTCAGCTCTTACTCACCACAGGCCTCACACTGTATTCCCTGTGGCTCATGCCTGTGGACACTCTATAGGGGCTTGCTCTCGGCACACTGTTAAGTAATTGTCAAAAATGCCAGCTATTGGCTGGGCGTAGTGGCTCACACCTGTAATACTAGCACTTTGGGAGGCTGAGGCAGGCAGATCATCTGAGGTCAGGAGTTTGATACCAATCTGGCCAACATGGTGAAACCCCATCTCTACTAAAAATACATAAATTAGCTGGGCATGGTGGCAGGCGCGGGGGCAGGTAGGGGGCGCGGAGGTTTCAGTGAGCCGAAATTGCACCACTGCACTCCAGTTTGGGCGAAAGGAGCAAAACTCCAGCTCAAAAAAAAAAAAAAAATTGGTATTGAAGCTCAAAGTGTGACCTTTGATAGGACTGTTGAAGTTTTTTTTTTTTTTTGAGACAGAGTTTCGCTCTTGTTACCCAGGCTGGAGTGCAATGGCGCGATCTCGGCTCACCGCAACCTCCGCCTCCTGGGTTCAGGCAATTCTCCTGCCTCAGCCTCCTGAGTAGCTGGGATTACAGGCACGTGCCACCATGCCCAGCTAATTTTTTGTAGTTTTTGTAGAGACGGGGTTTCACCACGTTGACCAGGATGGTCTCGATCTCTTGACCTCGTGATCCACCCGCCTCGGCCTACCAAAGTGCTGGGATTACAGGCTTGAGCCACCGCGCCCGGCTACAGGACTGTTGAAGTTTTAAAAGGGCATTCTCAGAGCTCAAAAATCTTTCAAACACACAAAGCTAGACAGTAAAAATTGTTAGCTCTGTGAAAATCAAAGTGCAAAGCACTTAATAATAGCAATAGTTGTTTCTTACTGTGAACCATGTGTCAGGCACCATGCTAAATATTTCACAGACATTAATTCATATACTAGTACAGCAGTCCTGTGGGTTTCACAGGTAGAGACACTGAGGCTGAGCTTCGTAATGGTCAGGGCCTGATTTGAGCCCGACAATGTGCTTATATACCTCCAAAGTCAGGTTCTTTTTTACCCCGCAATGAATGTTTTTTTTCTAATATCACACACACACAAACACACACACACACACACACACACACACAAAGTATATATACATATATATGATTTTTGTAGAGACTGACAGGGTCTCACTCCACTGCCCAGGCTGGAGTGCAGTAGCACAATCACAGCTCACTGTAACCTCAAACTCCTGGCTCTAGCAATCCTCCTGCCTTAGCCTCCCAAGTGGCTAGGACTATAACTATGCCCAGCTAATTCTTTTCTTAAGAGACAGGGTCTCACTATGTTGCCCAGGCTGGTCTTGAACTCCTGGCCTCAAGCAACTGTCCAGCCTAAGCCTCCTAAAGTGCTGGGATTACAGGTATGAGTCAACGTGCCAGGCCTCACATGTTAGGTTTTAATCAGGTCTCTTAGTTTGCAGCTAGGATCAAGTCCTCTCTCTTACCTCTGACTGATTCAGCCACAAATAATTATTTTGATCACCTGCTATGCACCCATGGTGTTCTTGGTACTAGGAATCCTGCTGTGAGTGAAGCTGAGCTCCTGCCTTGTGGAGCCTGGGCCACATGAGTCTCCCAGCTGTGCTTTGAAGTCACTATCAAAAGTCCTGGCACTGGAGAGTTTCATGTGTCTGATGCTAGGGCAAGATGCCAAATTCCCCATTTGCCTCCAACAGGAACAAATGTCAGTTTCCACCAAGCGCCCCCCCCCTTCAGGTGACTCCTGTTGTGAGTCTTTTCATACCATCTCCCCTTCACCCTCAAGTGCCACCAACAGGCAGAGGTGGGGAGCTGGGTTTGGAGACACTGGTCTGATCCTTAGGTGAACTCCTCTCCCCTGATGTTGCAGGAGAATGGGTGCTCAGATGGAGAATCAGCACTCTTCTCAGGACTGGCAGGTGCTGTGGCTGGGGGGAGGCTGCATTATGTTCTGGGCTGTGAGCTTTTCCAGAAATCCACTCCACAGGCACATATCTGCTGTGTCTGTATTTCTTGGCATAAATCAGATGTCCCCGAGTTCTCCAGTCTCGAATGTCTATGTAAGGTGTCTAGCCTCATCTGAGGATGCTGGAAGTCTAGTCTGTTAGGAGGCCGCTGAATATGTGCTTGTCTTGTTGGACCTTCCAGGAGGTTGCCTAATGTCTCAGTTCTCTTTTGTTCTGTGTTTCTTGATCTAGGCGATTGCTCCATTTTCTGTATGTCACCTCCTGCCACCTCTTCTCCAGGGTAATGCTGTTTGCAACACAGTTCCTTGTCTTCGTTTCCCAAGCATCTTGGTTCTGAAGGTGAGATACTGGCCTGCACGGGATGTCAGGGACAACGACCAGGTACCTCCACAAGTGACTCTCCCCAGCTCCCAGCCAGCTGACAACTGCAGGCACCGATGGTCTCTTTCTTTCCTTTTCTTTATCTGCATGCTGGTTTCCAGGCCTTTGCTCACCCTAAAGGAGCCTTATAGGACCCAGTAGTTTCACTCCTAGGGAGCTTTTATATCCTGTATCATTTTTTTAAGCTTAAGATTCCTTTCGTTTCCTCATTAATTTGGCGGACCCGTCTGTCCAGAACTTGTGGGATGTCCTCATCTTCATCATGTTGGCAGATACTCCAGCATGGCCTTCTGGCCGCGATCCACAAGCTCACCAGCCCCGCGGTCGCTCGTTCGCGCTCCCGCCAGCCCAGCCGGAGCCAGACAGCACATCCTCGCAGCGGACACAGTCCGCTCCCTGAAAAACCTGCTTTTCAAGAACCGCCTCTACCTCTGGACCTCAGCTTAGATCCACCTTTGTCTCTCTTTTTTCCTTTCTTTCTTTCTTTCTTTTTTTTTTTTTT